GACAACGGGCGGCCTTATCGCTAACAAGCGATTTCTTCCCGGCAACCCTAATATGGAACAATAACAAAGAAACAGCTACAGAGGAGCACAAGTAAATAAATAATTAACAAAAAAAACTCCAAATAACATGTAACTATAACTAACATAAAATAAAGAAAAAATAAAAATATGTATAAACCAAAATTAATTATTTATTATAACTTTAAAATATATAATTAATCTTAAAAAAACTCATTATTTATAGAATATTCATATTTAGCGCAACCTAGAATCATCCATTAGACATTTTTTTCTTTATCTTTGGATGGGAGGTCACCAAAGATTGATTGTCACCCCTATTTAATTTATACTCTAAAGATCTGTAGTATGTAAGAAAAATTTACTCAAATATAGAGACATAAACTCATCTCCCCGAACCTTACAAAACATGATTTTTTTTATATTTTTTTATGTAATAGGAGGCAAACGGGCAGGAGGCTCACCTGATGTTAAGTGATACCGCCGCCCATGGACACTCACAATGCCAGAAGGCTCGCAAGTGCGTTGCCGGCCTTTCAAGAATTGGTACGCTCTTTTCTTGAAGGACCCTAAGTCGAATTGGTTCGGAAATACTTCAGTGGGCAGCTGGTTCCACATAGTGGTGGTGCGCGGCAAAAACTGCCTTAGAAAACGCTCAGTTGTGGAACGACGGACGTCGAGGTGATAAGTAAACACGCAGAAATGAGTCTTATAAACAAAATAATAAAAAAAACTATACTTCCATACAAAAATCCTGCAATATTCGTAATCGTAAACTCTATGCAAAGCTGCATCCCAATCGATTCAACTTTAACATTGAACTTCGCGTCGGTTAAAAACGTGATCAGCTTTTGAGGAAAACCGTTCGTAATATTATTTTATGCATTATATATATAGAATAAGTTGTTTTGTCTGTCAAATTCACTATGATACTGAGCGCCTTTAGACTGTTAATTCTAAATAATGGTCCGTTATATATAAACTACAATGCAATACCACGAAATATGTATATTAGGGACTGCATAGGAAAAGGGATTGTTAGAGTTCTAGTGAACGAATTTAGATCTTTGCCGGCCTATCTGGTCTCCAAACTCCAATAAAGTACATTGTTTTTTTTTCATTTTTCGTCATTGTTTCTTAAAGTAGGACGAATGGAAAAAATATATGGTGGAGTTGAGCAGTTTATGTATCCATTTTGAAAGATCGATTTAAATAACTTCGCTCGATAGAAAAAAAAATCCAAACATAGCCAATTTTTGACACTGAATTCATTTCGAAAATATATGGAACATGATTTTGAAATTTACACGATATTTTCTATCGCAAGCCAAGTAATCCATTTCAGAAAAAAATGATAAAATCACATTAATTTAATGATTTACATAACTAATTATTACATCCTGAGACACTGACACAGCAATTCGTGCTGGGATAGGGCCTTAAAAGAAATATTAATGAGGCTGAAATGTGCCTGCACCAGTAAGAAACTAATCCAATACAATATTAGTCAAAGTCAAAGCCATTTATTCATTTAACACAATGTACACTTATGAACGTCAATAAAGGAATACATATTAAATATTAAAAACCCAGAACTAAATATTAAAATAAATAAACAAGCAACTCCATAATCAACCACATGTCGCAGCGAACGACTCGTGCGTCACACAAACCTGTATTTAAACATACGCAAACTCGACACAACATCACAATGTTCCTACCGATCTACACGCTAGCGGCTATAGCGAATATAGTCGCGAAATCGCACAACTACAACATCGACCATGAGCTCAATCCCTATTTACGAGTCAAAAAATCAATAAGTGATGTGAAAGTGAAGGATATAGAACATTTATATCCAGTGGAAAGTGATCAGAGTGATGTCTACGAACCGAACAGGCATTCGGCAATAAATAAGGAAAACCAACTGAAATATTCCACTGTAAATGACCCGGATGAATTGAATTTTAAAGACCAAAGTCGAGAGAAACGGAGCTATTACATACCCATTTCACGACCTATAGAAGACTCTAGTACTAGTATACCAACGATAACTAAAGATGTCTCCAGCACAAGTGATTTAAATGATTTAGAACCTACTACTACTACTACGACAGATTCATCATACAGTGATTATAATGTAGATTACGAAAATGGTGGTAATTTTATATTCAAAAACCATCCAGAAGACACCAATAAGAATAAAACAGATAACAATCCGAACAATGAACTCAATAACTCGACAAGAAATAATACACAAGCATACTATCCGCTCAGTCATACATTTATTCCTGGATATAATGAACCAAAAGATGTGTTTAATTTCGAAAAGGGACCGGTTTACACAAATGTGACGGAAACTAAAACAAATGCTGAACAAGAAAATGAAGAAGTTTTAACTAAAGAGAACGATGATAAAATCAATCAACGAATAAAGAGAAGCTATTATATAGCAAAATCCCAGAGTAGCAAACCAGGGAACGCCCAAGCTTACTATCCACTGAGCCACACATACATACCAGGATATAATACACAAGAAGACGTATACGACTTCGATCGAGGTCAAGTTTTGCCTATCTCTAAAAATAAAACTAGCGACACACCAAATAAATCAAAGGAAACTAAACCAAAAGAGAAAGAAGATTCACACAAAAAAGATGACCGAACACAAAGGACAACAACTAAACACAATTTGGAACGCATGACACGGAGTCCTCAACCTTTAAACTGGAAACAAAACGATAATTATGACGACTATACTCAATTACGACCTCAAAATAAAAGACCACCTCAAAGGGAGTCTCAAAATCCTACCAACTTAGATTACGATAACGATGGCGAATTCATAGTATATCCCAAACATGTAAACAGAGTAAAACCAAAGCAAGGACCCAGGCGAAAACCAACCAACACGCCGCACACAGGTAAACATCCTAAACCTCATACAACAAAACAATCTGAAGATTCGGATTCAAAAGAATCTGAAGAAAACATGGATACGTATTATAGAAGGGGTAGTGGTCGTAGACATGCAATCACTCGTATAAAAAGAAGCTACTACATGCCAACGTATGAATACGATCATTACGGACGCAAACAAATTAGTGGATACCGCCCATTAAGTCATACATACATACCAGGGTATAATGAACAAGAAGACGTCTGGCGGTATGAAGGGGGAGAGGTATATCCCTACCCGAGTAATGGTGGTGGTGACATAGACAATACTGGTACACAAAGAGGACAAGGTAATAAAAAGCACAAAACTACTAACGAAGACGAGACACGCAACAAAAAACATAAATCGTCTAAAGACAAAAAGGATGAAAGTTTACTCGACAAGATAATAATTAATCCAATAAAAAAACTCTTCGGATACAGAAAAAAAAGAAATACAAACATAGATATTCCAAATAACACTATAATAGTACGAAAAAGGAACGGCGTGACAGACTTCTTGAATAATATGGTGGAAAAAATACACAACTACACTAGGCACGACCAAGTAATTATTATAGATGAAAATAGCATTCACAATGGAAAAACTAATGAAAATTATTTATCTTCTGTTCCAGATCCTTATGGAAATGGTTACGACGATATAGCATATCCAAACATCCCATACAACGATAATCGTAACCATTATAATACTCAAGATAATCGCTATGATAACGGACTGTATCGCCCATATCAACATAACCCTGCGAATCGAGGGTTCTCACCTTACCAAAATGGTTACCAGTATTCCACTAGATATAATTATAACCAACGGAGCTACCAAAGTAATAATAATGATATAAATAATTCGTATCATCAAACTACAAGTGCTAATGTCAATTCTCTTCCCCAGAATATTACTGACAAAAAAGTGGGAACGAAACAGAACGTAACAGATGGAATAGAAGTGAACGAGGAAACCGACGATGAAAGGATACTTAAAGGCACGTGTTTTATGTGTAGAAGTATTGGATGTCCTTTCAATTATAAAAAAATAGGACCGAGTTGCGTTCGGATTCGTTAATAAATATTATTCAGATAGGAATTAATTAAAACTATCATTCCATCAGTATCAATATGAATAATAAAGTAATATAATTAAAAAATATATTGTAACGTTTGTGAATTGTTAATTTGATTGACTTGAAATAAAATTTACAATTTTTAAATGAATTTAGAGTTTTAAATTCTACCATTAAATCTTTGGAATAAATAATTTTGCATCGGTTACAATTTTCATTTTATGATTGATTATTTTTACCCTAAAATATGTTTTGATAATTCAACTAAACAGTGCAGTGCAGTGTAATGCAAATGTATTTTACCCTCAGTAGGTATTTATCTTATATAAAATTCTCATGTCACAATGTTAGTTACCATACTCCTCCGAAACGGCTCAACCGATTTTTATCAAATTTTATATGCATATTCAGTAGGTCTGAAGTCGGCTACTATCTATTTTTCATACCTCTAAGTGATAAGGGTTGTCCACCCCTAAGATTTTATTTTTTGGACGAAATTTAATTTTTTTTTTTATAATGTGCCATCAAAAAATATATACAACCCTAAATTTTCATCCTTCTACTATTAACCCCCATTTTTAATTAAAGTAGATAGTTATTTTTATTCAACTAAAAAATGTTTCCTAGAAAAAATATAAGTACATGGCAAAACAACGTTTACCATCTTAATATATATAAATCTCGTGTCACAATGTTTGTCCTCAATGGACTCCTACCGATATCAATCAAATTTGCACACCATGTGCAGTTCGATCCAACTTGAGAGATAGGATAGTTTAAATCTCAAATTATAGTCGCAATTTTAATTTATTGCAAAATATTTGTTTATTATTTGATACAATTCTAACAGATGGCGCTGTGTTAAAATTATCAACGTTTCACATAAGCTGTCATCTACCTTTCACATAAGTTCTCCTACCGTTTCCCTTGAATAGTTTACTACTATGTAATATAACAAAAATCTTAGCCAGAGCAACGCTTGGCCGAGTCTACTAGTATTTTATATATTTTGTCATATAGCCTATTGCCCGTCAACACGAGGGTCGTGAATTCAAATCCAATCAACTTACTTGGCGGCCTCAACTGTTGTGGATGCTCCACGAGATTTGTGATGGCGTCAGCGTTTAGATTATCAACAATATCGTCTTCACCGATATTGCAATCCTCGACCCGTTGTATGTCCGTCCGTTCGTCTTTCTCGGAGGTTTTACGTCTGGATTCACGCTCTTCAGGTGTCATTAGGATGACACTGTCCCACCTAAATAAAAAAACTGATTTAAACTAGAATTTATTGACAAATGAGACTTCATAAGTCTTTTTTAAGGTGCGCTTACACGAGGGCAATAATTGCTCGGCGACACGAATGGACCGATCTGGAGCAATTAATGGAGCAATTTCAATAAATTGCAATAAATTATTTCGGCGATATTGCTTCTAATTGCTCCAGATATTTCATATCGCTCAATGTCGCAGATACGAATTGACGAATATCCAATGGACTTGGAAATTCCTAGCAATTTTTGTATATGTCTCATTCGCACTTGTTTGATTTGCGGCTTGCCGTCTTGCTTCCGCGGGGAGAGCGAGAGGTCTAAATATGTAATAATAATTTCTTACTTTATTCAAAAGTAATTCAAAGTCTGTTCGCGACATTCTAGTAAAGTTTTTGAATAATATATCATCTTTACATATTGAAAATTTTGTCCTCTTTGCCAAAAACGATCGCACCCAGATGCGCCTATTCCTTTTCTTTCTTTTTTGTTTTTGATTAATGATAAAAAAGCGCTACAAGCCGCCGCAGCAAGAACAATGTCGTCCATAGCGAGCGAAAACTGAAATGCTCGTGTATGACAGTATTGCCTAGTTGATGAAGTTGCGCCATATCGCTCAATATTGTATTGCGCAGTATTGATGCTTGTTGCCGTTGCTGTAAATTGCTTGATGTGACGTCATAATTGACGAGTATTGACTGGAATTGAGCAATTTTAGTTGCCCGTGTAAGCGCACCTTTAGACTTAGACTAAATCATGTCACATTCTCTTCTTGAGCTGTCAAGTGTCAAAATAGGAACCGTATGACGGTTTACGCTTTGACAGCTCTTGAAGTTTAAATTTATCGTTCTAGTCGCTGAAAATGGCAGTATTATATGGAATCCATTTGCAGCGCATTAAAAATTATTTAGACCACAACTAGCTTTCAGTAGTACATGATTCTATAATTACCATTCAATGTCGGGAACTCTATCAGAATCCGGCACATCAGACGCGAGCAGGGCCAACTTGGTCGCCGACGATATTCCTGTCTTTCTTGCAATTTGCGATATTTCATTCTGCAATTTCTCCAGTTGCGCCTACGCATATAAACATTTAATGAATAGGTTGCTCTTACCTATGATCCGGTTAAAGATAATATTTTTATATAAAAACAGCTGGTATACATACATCTTTTGTGCATGTCTCCGTAATTAAACTCCTAAACGGCTGGACAGATTTTGATGATTTTTTTTTTGTTAGTGTCGAGAATGATTTACATTATTAGATTTATTTTTGTGTGTAAGACGTGTGTACAGGACAACGTCTGTCGGATCCGCTAGTGTAGCAAGCTGCACTAGATAACTAAATATATGAGAGGGTCAAAAGTCAAAGGTCAAAAATAATTTATTCACGTAGGTAACACAATGTACACTTATGAACTTCAAATAAAATTTACATTAAATGCTTCTAATTTTACATTTACTGCCAGTTTTCAAATCAAGGGCGTAAAACGGAAGAGAACTGGCAATAAACTCTCCGCCACTCTTTTTAATCGCCTAGTTTTTTTGTAAGGAGCTGCAACCATTACACCATGTTCCACATGATATCTTAACTAATAAATAATAATAAAATAAATTAAAAACAAAGATTTGTCCTCTATCAGCAGGAGGCATGGTGAAATAGGAGCACGCACTTACATTCTCGTGGGAACAACACGCAAATACATAGTCGATCCTACGGATCCCTAAGCTCTACAGATGTACCCCTACATATATCTTAATATATATAAATTACGCGTCACGTTGTTTGCCCGCTATGGACTCCTAAACTACTTGACCGATTTCAATCAAATTCACCACTTTGAGGGGGAAACTGAATACTCACTTTCATTCTCAATCTCTCAGCCATCTGCCTGAATTTCCCCGGTTCATGGAACCGTAGGGCCCTCTTGAGCCTGATGGGCGCTTTGCTCGGCACCCTGGAGTCCATCCATGATGCCTCCACGGGGACATCGCTGGCTGCTTGACCCGAGAGCTGCGCTTTGAACTCCTCCCGACGCTTCGCTCGAATATTCGCCTGAAATTTTAACACTGATAAGAGAAAAACGTCAATTTTCTAACTGTCAATCAATCTCGTCTTGACCGCTGTCAAATATGTCAAATGTGTCAAACTAAGAAAAACAGTCTGACAGTTCTTGACAGTATTTTTATAGAACAGAGGGCAAATGGGCAGGAGGTTCATCTGATGTTAAGTGATACCATGGACACTCAATTCCAGAGGGCTCACGAGTGCATTGCCGGCCTATTACGAATTGGTACACTCTTATAACAATTAGATCAGGGAAAGAAAAGCAGGAAGCTCATCTGATGTTAAATGATAACTTGGACATTCAATGCCAGAGGGCTCGCAAGTGCGTTGCCGGCCTTTCAAGAATTGATACGCTCTTGTACAACTAAATCAGGGAAATAAAATCAGGAGGCTCATCTGATGTTAAGTGTTAGGACCTTTGGACACTCAATGCCAGAGGGCTGGCGAGTGCGTTGTGGGCTTTTTAATAGTAGTAGGATTTAAATGCTATTATACCCCTATTATACAGAAGTGAAGGATTATAAGTTACCATTGGCACAATAATTTATTTTACACAACATATTGACTTTTACAGATTTTAAAAACTAATTTTTAACCTCTCTCCCCCCTCCTCATGTAACGTAACGTTTTTGGTCCTCTTCCCAAGCCAAATGTTAGATGACAAATAAAAAAAAGAAGTGCGTGCGTATAAAGTACACATGTCAGAAGTGAAACTTCTTTGTAAATTAATTATTACTAAGGTAAAAGCCCCAATAGATGATCATGTACCAGTATATGATCATCTATTGGGCCAGTATATGATCACTCCATGTATTTGTATATCTATATTCACACTGTTTATACACTGTATACGTGCTAATGATAATATAAATAAATAAAAAATCTGCGTTTACACAAGACATTATGCGACAGAATTGCAATCTAAAGTTCTAATATGTAACTAAACGAATACATCAACCAATAGCGTGTTTTTTTCTCGATCTCCCTTACTCTCTCTCTCAATCTTTCTCACTATAGCTCTCTCCCACATCTCGCTCCATGGCACTGTGAATGACGTTCGCTCTATCTCACTCTCTCTCGATCTTTCTCACTAGCTTACTCTCGCTCCATGGCTATTTGCTTCATCCTACATTCGCCCTTTCGCATTTTCTCTCAATCGGTCTCAAGCGCTCTCTCCCTTTTCTTCGACAAAAACGTTGCACATCTTCGTGACGCTAATATTATTATTATTGCGGTTCATCCGTAAATATTTTACCCCCTTGCGCTTAATGAAGTTGCACTTCAAAAATCAAGCTAAATTTCATTTGAAAAAAACCTCTTTTTAATATTCTGTCCTTTAAATTACCTTTAGTGTCGGTGCGACTTGGGTCAAATGCACTCTCCTACCAGCTGGGTCCACCGTCCGTCCCTCTCTATCAAGAATCAACGGAGCTGGTCCAGATAAACCAGGCTGCAGAGCTCCTCCTAAAAATAATTAATTAATTATTTTTTTCATATTTTATTATATTATTACTAGCCGTTTGGGCGAATTAAAATAGGAAATAAATAAAATTTTATGTTGCATATATTTTTTTTTCATATTTTTATTATTCTTCTTTTTAACTTCCCGCTAAGAAAATTGAAAATTTTCGAAAATCGAGTTTTTAACAGGTTAACGTTTTGAGGTTCTAGGAAGCCTCCCCGAATGTTTCCGCGGTGAAGTCCGTATGTATAAATTTTCATGAAAGTAAAACAGCAATAAAAAAATGAAGGAACGTTGGAATTTAGGAAAAATTTAGCATCGAATGGCATTAGTTTCATCTCGATACGAGTGGTTTAGGCGTGAAGGAGCCTCAAACGAAGACCATTTTTCTTATATATATAATATATATAGACTAGCTGACCCGGCAATCGTTGTTTTGCCAACATTAACTATCTGCTATAATAAAATATAGGGGTCGATCGTAGAGGGGTAATGAGGGGGGAAAATTAAGGGTTGTATGTATTTTTGTATGCTGTATCATAAGAAAAATTTAGAGGTCGACCACCCTTAACATCTAGGGGGATGAAAAATAGATGTCGTTCGATTCGCAGACCTAACCGATATGCACACAAAATTTCACGAAAATCGTCGAGCCATTTCGGAGGAGTTTTATACAAAAACCGTGACACGATAATTTTATATATTAGAATTGTTTATAAAGAAGTATTTACGCCTTTTCACTTAAAAAAAATAAGACGAGTTGGAGATTCACCTGACGTTCAGTGACAATGCGCTCACAGTTCCAAAAGACTCTCTAGTGTTAGCGGCCTTTGAGTCGCGTTTTTGTTTCTGCTACTCACAATATCTGAACATATTTATGTTATAACAAAACCGCCTTGATTTAGCTACAATACAGACACACAGACACACATACAGAGTCCAAATGACCTCAGAATTAATTTGATAACATACCAGCCAATTTCCTCTGTATCCTCGCCTGTAGCTCAGCTATTTTCTGCTGCTTCTCCAATTCCGCTGCCGAAATGACTCCAGTTACTGAAAATTACATAAAATGTTCATGTCGAATCAACAATAACGTAGGATGTCTGAAATAAAGTCTTCGTCTAATACTTTTCGTTTAATTTTTTAATGTGTCTTCACTGAGACTTCGTTGAACATCTTTTTTTTAGCCTAAAGCATCTAGCTCTTTTTTTTAGCCTAAAGCTTAGGTTTCCTAGAAAAGCGGTGCCGTTATCAAACGGCCGTAATGTAACGTTGGGTGACGTCACCCATACGTTGTCTATAAATAACAACGGAGTAGGTTTTCTTGAGAACGTTGAGTGTCACCGTAACGTCAAATACTTAGTGGTGCTGTCATTTGCATGACGGCCGTCATAGCGGTGATAAACATTAGTTCAACGTTTTTCGCGTGTAGCGGTGCCCATATTTAATTAATACCATGAGTGGAAACGTGACTTGGACGAGCGAAACTGTTGTTTTTTTTTTTGCATTATGTTAAAAAGTAAAGACGGCCGTTATTAACAACCATAAAATGACGGCTCTTGTGTTCTAATCTTATTTATGTAGTTTCATTCAATGACAATTTTTGCTCGAAATATTTATCTGTGCGTATAAAAACGTTTATTTACACGCATTGCCCAGAGAGTTATTCTGGCGGGTTTTTGAAATTATTTTAAGATTGGAAACTAATTACGTCTGTTAGATTTTTTAAAATTTTATTGAATAATTCTAGTAGTTATGGTAATTATTATAATGTTACTAGCTGATCGGGCAAACGTCGTTTTGCCATGTATATCATTTATAATAAAAAAATAAGGGTTGATCGTAGAGGGGTGAAAGTTAGGGGTTGTATGTATTTTTTAATGCTGTATCATAAAAAAATAAAGACAGAAAAAAATATCTAAAAATAAAAAAAATATAATTTAGGGGTGGACTACCCTTAACATTTAGGGGTATGAAAATTAGATGTTGTCCGATTCTCAGACATACCCAATATGCACACAAAATTTCATGAGAATCGGTCGAGCCGTTTCGGAGGAGTTTAACTACAAACACCGCGACACGAGAATTTTATATATTAGATTGTAATGAATGTCGACACTTAATTCTTAAATAAATAATGTAAAAAAAAAATTAACTAAATGGCACAAAACCTCTTTGTTTTAAATATTAATTAAAAACCTTATTTTCTACTATAATAATACAAATTTGATATAAACGAAAAAATTACCTAATACATATATTTGTATATAAACGAGGCCACACATGCATGACATTGAGACATAAATAAATAGTAAACTATCGACAATGCAACTCAACTTATGTTTGAATTTAACTGAATATGTTAATTGACAACCACTAATAGTTGCCAATTCCCATGCCTAGTTTTGAATAGTAAAATAATAATTATAAATAAACACATACAATTATGTTATTTCAAGAAAAAAAATATCAATGAATTATAAAATAGAATATTCAGCAATAGTTTATATCCAAACTAGGGGCCTGTCCCGGCTTTGCATATGTTCTTTAATATTGTGAAATAGTTTTTTGTTCCATCATCAATAGTATCGCAACGCATGCGATGAAAGATATTTTACAGGCATTTTTTTACACCTTGGGTAACATTATTATAGTTTTATTAGAGATCCTTATTATTTTCTTGCAATTAAAATAGCCTATATTAATCAGTGATAATATAGCATTCAAATGGTGGAAGAATTTTTTAAATCGGTCCAGTACTTTATGAGCCTATTTGTTACAAACATACTTACATACAAATCTTTTGTCTTTGTAATATTAGTATAGATTACTCACAAGGCCTTGAATACAGCATCGGCTTGATGACACTAGGTGGGGCTAAAGAGCCTTGCATCTGGTTGTTTATCTGTTTAGCGGTTTGAGCTGCAACATTAACATTTCCCTTGTCTCCTTTTATTGCCATTAGCGCTCTCTTTCTTTCCTCAATTTCTTTTTGTGCATTGGCCATCATAAGCTACAATATAGATAATTTATAATTAAAGATTAGAGAGATATTCATTATCAGATCTTAGAAGTACCAACATACATGTGTGTTCCAAATGTTAGGTCAAACATAAGCATGAAAATAAAGCAAATATATCTATGATCTGTCATAACTAACAGAATGATTATAAACTTTTAAACGCCTGAACACATCTTCATAAATTATATGTAAAAACAGTGTTACTGACGTCAGCTTTCTACCAAAAACCTTATCATAATCAGACCGCAGATGACACAGATAGAAACAGTCACTTTATACCTATAACGCCTCACTTAACAGCTCTCTTTATGGGTTAAACTTAGTAATAAATTTTCCCCAGGTTCTAATCTCTATTGAAACTGACATCGAACAAGGCCCCAAAATCTTTAAACAGTTTCAAAACATATAAATTAGTGCTGGATTTTTAGTAAAGATACCACCACTGTAATATAATCCACCAACAATGTTAATTTTTTAAGGCACCATGTCACCCTTACTAGTAATCATATACTCCTACTTATACTAGCAGATTAACACCATTTACATATAAAAAATCAAATGTACCTTAATTTTATCTGCACTCAAACCAGCCATCTTGGAGCCGACAGTCCCATCCTCGGGTATTATAGAAGGTATTTCCAATCCATTATCTTTATCATCTCTATCTTTCTCCCTCTCCTTATCTCTGTCATGTCTTTCCCTTCTTTCATCACGAGATTCATGTTTATCATCATGACGTGACCTACAACATTGAAATGATAAAAAATAGATTCTGGTATTGTTTCTTAGAAATGTTAAAAACATAAGGGTTTCTAATTATGACTAAGTAATATAAGTTTGTCTATTACCTGCATTAAATTACCTAGAAATGGTTATGTGGAAAGGAATGTTAAATAATGACAGCAGGAATACCCAACCAAAGTAGGATGAGTTCAAATTTATATGGTGTTTGACTTTAATACTATATTTACTAACTTTTTTGTCAAATAACAATGTAATCAGCTTTGATCTATATATAAGATATCTATCTCTAGGAATACACAAACAAGGTAGATATCAATTGTAGCAAGAAAAATCTAAGTAAGCAAAATATAAAAATCTTTTTTATGGTATAAACTCAACATATATTAAATAATTACTATAACAATTATAATATATAAATAAAATACAACCCCATAAAGAATAAATAAGCCTATATTTGCCAGATGTAGGAGGAGGGTTACAAAATTCTTAGCTAGACCATCTGACTTTATAGGATATTTCAAATTGGAAGAATTTTAAAGTTTTCTCATACCTATTCAAATTTATTATACTATATATAATATATTAGAGTGTAACAAAACAAACCTTTTGTTATCTTTGTCTTTATCGTTACTCTCATGTTTCCGTTTTTGTGATTTTGATGACGATATCAGTTCTTGAGCCAAAGCTATAACTTTGTCAGCAAGTTTGCTTGCTTTTTTTGAGTCAATATGAGACGATATTCTATCGATTATCTTTCGCCGTTCATACCTGAAATAATTTATTGAATATTTATAATCTATTTTTAACAAAACCAATTTATAATAGCGGCGGTAAGTTACTTACCCATTTGTTAAACAAGAAGAGACTGTAGATAGTAAAGAACTATCAGATTTTCCTATAGTTCTATATATAGCCCGGTCTATAGACGACCTCAAGTCTTCCACTTCTCTTCTAGATAGCTGTAAGGCCATCACGAAGGCGTCTCACAAACAAATCCTATTGTTAAAGTTTAAACACTACTTTGAGGTTATGATATCAAAACACTCTGTTTTCATTGCAATTATCGTTAAGGTAAAGACTAATGACTATAACTTAAAAGCCTAATAATTAATAAAATCCCAATTATTCACGGCTCTGAATTTATAACGTCGTAGAATAAATACAAACTATTAGCGATGTATATTTTCACTTTTCAGTTTTCACAGTTGTCATATTTTTTTTATGGGAATAGTTTTTTTTTTTTAACTTTATGCCACAGTTGTCATTTTATTTTAATTTACAAACTTCGACCACAGACTAGTGGAGATGTATCATGTAATTATTTTATTATTTTTAATTTATATGTATTATGTTCATATTAATTGAGCAAGTTTTGTAAAAAAGTATTTACAAATATTATTGACTAAAAATTATTTTTAACTGTGTAAAAAAGTTAATGTAGAATAGTTAAAATTGAAAGATATTCAACATTGACATTACATGACGCATAAATATAATTCAGAACGCTCAAAACTAATGAACATTGATAGTTTTACAGTTTTGTTTGCCGCTGCTGCTTTGTAATTTTGTCAAGTTACTTTAAAAATTTTTTGGGTTTGGGGAAATAGGATTTTGTAACAATACATGCATATTACCTTGATAATGATATAAAAGTGAAACTAAAAAAAACAATTGTTGTGTTTAAAGTTTATTCCTATTCAAAACATAACCTGAAAATGTCTGATGATGATGATGTTATTCTGGTAAAAAAAACGAAAACTGTTTACTATGGATCGCTGGAAGAGCAAGAAAAGGCACGGTTGGCTGCTCTGGCAGCAGCCGTCAAAGAAGGTGTTGAAGATGGTGATGCTAAAGAGTTGGGAGATATACAGATATCCAATGGTAATTGTAATAAAGTGTAAGGTCTTAATTGTCTAATAGAAAATTCAATTCAATAAAAATATGTATTTAGTTAGAGTAGTTAAATGTTTCTATCTGACGGTATAGTGACATTTATTTGATAACTTGCACAAAACCTTAAAAGTAACTCCAAATTAAAACATGAAGACTATTTAGTTGCTGCTAACTCTGAACCTTGCACTGGTGATACTGAGTAAGCAGAGTTCAATATTTATATTAATTATTATTTCTTTTTAGTTTGATGTTTATATGCCTCCAATTGTTTCTTTACTTCTAATATCCCTAGAAAGATTTACTTCCAGAACCTCTTTATAAAAATCAGTCTTATGTTAATGTATGTCTATCTGATTATGGTTATAGTTAATTTATTTCTGCTACAACTTTGAAAAAAACATTTAAACTCAACATTACATGTCATGCGCTGAAGTCACATCAATATATAGATAAAAAAATATATTTGTATTTGTAGAATATATGGAGCTTGAAGAAGAAATGTCAAGGGACAAGAAAGCTCTGCTTGAAGAGTTTGAGAGAAGACGCAAGGCTAGACAATTAAATGTCTCAACAGATGATGATGAGGTGTGTGTCACAATTATAATTGATTTATTAAATAATTTAAATATTTTATTTTAAATTTCAATAAAGCCAATGCTGGTTTTAAAGTTACAATGACTTTCAATGTGTTGCTTTTCATCACTAACTCAGCATATAAAGTCAAAAGTCATTTAATCATATAGGTAAACTTAAGAACGTCAAAAAAAGAAATGTATATGAAATGCTTCTGACTTTACATTTAGTGCCAGTTCTCAAATCAAGGGTGTAGAACGGAACAGAAGAACTGGCAATAAACTCTCCGCCACTCTTCTTAATTGCCATGTTTTTTTTACATAACGTTTGTAAGGAGCTGCAACCATTACACCATGTTCCACATGACATCTTAAGTAAAGGACTAAACACACTAGATTATGGTGTACATTTATTATGGTTGCATATGTATGTGACTGTACACGCACACTAAAGCATGTACTAAAGATATTCTATGCTAAGTCTGTTTCAGTCTGACTCTAAAACTAGTTTAATGCTGCATTCAGATTCCCAACAATTAAAAAAACACTAAGTAAAACTAACAAAAACACCCTAAGAGCTCTTGTTAACGACAACGGACAACGGCCCGATTTTTATAACGGGCGACGGGCCGACGCGCAGTGTTCAAGTAAGTTGAGTGAATGTTTGTTAACGCAACGGGCTCATACCCGTTGCAACGTGACTCAACGGATGCGCGCACGTTGCCCCTCGGCGCGACGGCGGACTGTCCGATGCAGTGAACTACGGCATTTCATAGAAGTGTGTTGACGACGACGGATGTGCGCACGTTATTACATTATATTTCTATCTACCTACCCTCTGCTGCTCATTGTGAATATGGAGTTTACCATTGATATGGATTTATTAATAAGCCTTGTTCAGAATAGGCCTATGTTATGGGACAAAACTATAGAAAATTACAAAAATAAACAAGCAAATTTTTCGGCATGGAAATAAATCTTCGTAATGCTAAATGAAGATTTTGAGACATTATCTGATAAATAATAATCAACGTACGTGCACTTCTCCCTTCAAATTTAATAGAACTGATATCGACAACAACGGACGCGTTCACGTTATATTTAGCGTATCGTGTACATAGGTAGCCGTTTTGCGTCGGCCCGTTACCCGTTGACAAAAACGTTCGTTAACAAGAGCTCTAACAATGTTTCACGCTAGGGATAATGAATCTTATTAAAGCTTAGGTTTCCTAGAAAAGCGGTGCCGTTATCAAACGGCCATAATGTAACGTTCGGTGACGTCACTCATACGTTGTCTATAAATAACATCGGAGTAGGTTTTCTATAGAACGTTGAGTGCCACGGTAAAGTCAAATAGTGGTGCTGTCATTTGCATGACGGCCGTCATAGCGGTGATAAACATTAGTTCAACGTTTTTCGTGTGTAGCGGTGCCCATATTTAATTAATACAATGAGTGGAAACGTGACTTGGACGAGCGAAAATGATGTTTTTTTTGCATTATGTTAAAAAGTAAAGACGGCCATTATTAACAACCGTAAAATGACGGCCGTTAGTTAACGGCATCGCTTTTCTAGGAAACCTAAGCTTAACCAAACAATATGAGTTAAAACTAGATAATTTTTGCTAGGTTCGAAGAAGTTTGAGGCAGCTGGGTGAATCAGTTTGCTTGTTTGGAGAAGGCCCAGCAGAAAGACGTGTAAGATTGAGGGATTTACTAAGCTAGTAAGTTTACTGTAGGCATTCTCATAGCCTTAAGTAAAGTTTTTTTATTTTTTTTTTTATTATTTATGATTGGACAATTCACACCAATTGACCTAGTCCCATGCTAAGCTGGTGAAGCTTGTGTTTTGGGTACTAGGCAACGGATATACATACATATTATAAATAGATAGACATATAAATACATATTTAAACACCCAAGACCCAAGCACAACACCAAATGCTCATCACATTGATGTTTGTCTCAGCCGGGGATCGAACCCGGGACCTATGGATTCGCAGTCAGGGATACTAACCACTAGACCAATGACCGTATATAAAAAAAGCTTTGCCAACAGGCGTGGCAATGAAATCTTACATCTAGAAACTATCAAAATGAACAATAAATTCTCATAGCTCTTTAACAGCCGAAAATACCATGATTTATACCTTATAACATTAGTTTATTATTAACTAACAGAATTCTTACAAACCACAAATATATGATTATAATAAAGCGAGAAATATAAATAATAATTTATTGCTCAATTTTGAAAATAGCACTGTTAAACTGAGTGTGAGTAGAGGAGAGAGGTCCAAATTTTCAAAATGCTTAAAATAATTCTACATCTAAAACAAAAAGAATTATATGTATGAAAACTTTTAATACGGTGATAATAGCGAATGAAACTAAACTATACCTATTAAATGCCCATATTTCAGTCTTGGAGAAGATGCCATAAACAAGAAGCTAGAAGAAGAAGAAGCGAGAATAGAAAGAGACAGAGGAAGAGAAGGCACTTGGTACCATGAGGGACCACCGGAGTTAAGAGAATCTAGACTATGGATTGCAAGATATTCATTGCCTAGAGCAAAAGAAAGGTATGTTACCTCTCTAAGGGGCATGTGTTATGATCCCTAATCCTTGAGCTGTTTAAGTCTGCCCTTTTTTTTATTGCCTAATATATTGCTTGCCCCAGGGAAGAAAGTCTGAAAGAAAAGAGAAACAACCATAAAGATAGTTTTAGCTTAGATTGAATAGCATAAAAGTTGGTGTGACTGTTTAAAAACGAATAAGTGGTAATAATATATCTCTGTTTCGCCAAGGTCATAATAAAGAATGGTAATAAATTATTACGTTCGAGACATTCGACAAAATTACCGTCGTAATGTGCGGTTACTGTGTCGTCCGTAATTATATTTAAACCGTGAAACAATCGTAAATGATTTTGCTCTCCGAGTCTAATTAGATGAATTAGTGTAATATACATTTTTTTTTAATCTGTTAACTCAAAATAAGTTTATTCATATAGATAACCAAGTCATAGTCAAAGTCAAAAATCATTTATTCATGCTGGTAACACAATCTACAATGTAAACCGGGGAAGATGAAATAAAAGAGCGGGGGAATGATTAGACAGTTCCCCGGTTTCTGGTGTCCTCTCCTTTTTCTTTCCACTGGGCCATTCCAAGTAGGGATGTTTTGATACATCTGTCATCACAAACACTGGCAATGTGGCCGGCCCATTTCCACTAAAAAAAAAATTATATTTTTCGTAAAATATTTTTTTAATAATTTCAGACTAATGAAAGCAAGGGAAGAGTTAAAATTAAGTGGAAGTATAAGAGCAGCGGCGAAACAGGAGTCCCAAAGGCGGGCATCTGCTATGACGATTTATTGCAGTCAGGTAAGTTTTTGAAGTTATACTTCTTTAGGCGCGTTATGAAAAAATGATGGGAGTGAAATTTTACGATGCGCGCGCACCGTGACACTAAATTAACAGAATGAAGTTGCCCACGGAAGATGCTACGGCATTGGACATAATTTAAAAACAACATTCGAATAATAATAGAATTTATGTTACACTTAATGTAAGAGAATAATAATAAATATTTATTTATTTAATTTTTCAAATGTAAACTGAGCTTTATTGACTATAATGACTCCTTTTCCGGTCTTTGATTATTTAATTGTAATTAATTATTTGCATGCAATCAAAAACTATTTTTAATAATGCCAAAGAAGTATAACTTCTTAAGCGCGTACATAAGTACACGCACCCTTTTTTCTTTTTTTTTTTAAACCGCCAAGGTAAATGGCCAGAATACCTGATGTGAAGTGATACAGCTCATAGACTCACCTTTTAAGAATTGGTACGCTCTTCTATGAAACTTAGTTGGGATATATTTTTCGGAATTTCTATATTTGAACAGATTATACTCAAATATTATATAGAAGTATTTCCGAAGCAATTTAGGGTCCTTCAAGAACAGAGTGTACAAATTCTTAAAAGGCCGGCAACGCACTCGCGAGCGCTCTGGCATTGAGAGTATCTATGGGCGGCGGTATCACTTAACATCAGGTGAGCCTCCTGGCCGTTTGCTCTATAAAAAAATATAATTCACAAGATTTTTTTTCATATTAAGACTGTCGAACTTTAATGATGTAAGTGTTGACAACATAAACAAAGCTTAGGGAGCCTTCAAGTATTACGTAACGAATTTTGTCCTTTTTAACGTTACTATGCGAGGTGGGGATTGAATTACGCGTTATTGTTAATATTATCTTCGACTTTCCAGTACTTTACACCACATAATGGGAACTTTTGTGTATAAAAAGTCACTAGGTCACGAAACGTTTTACTATACTTGGGTACAGAAAAACGTTACTGCGCGTTACATGGGGGGGGCGGGCGGTCAATAATCTCCATAAATTGCGTGCCACGACAATGGAAGAACAACGAAAAGTAGTTTATTTTATAAAATATAGATTTTCTAATGTAAAAATTTAAAATTTATGGATTTTTGTGACTAGGGCCTCTCCTGTTTAAAATCGGTTCACAAATTATTGAGATGGGTATCCACGCTATATATGATAGAGATTTGATATCTTTTGGAATACGCTTTAATTAAAAATACTTTCAGATTGGTGACGCTCGACCGATAAGTTTCTGCCGCTTCAGCAACGATAGTCAAATGTTAATAACTTCAAGTTGGTAAGTACATTTTGCTCAATCAGGCTATACTATTTATTTATTAAACATTACCATATATAACGACTAGCAGACCTGCCAAGCATTGCTGTGGCTAAGGTTTTTGTTATATTACATAGTAGTAAGCTATTCAAGGGAAACGGTAGGAGAACACCAGTCATGGGGACCACCTTTTTTGGTGGTTATGCCATTAAATTGTAGCTTATGTGAAACGTTGGTACTTTCAACACAGCGCCAACTGTTAGAATTGTGACTATCAAATAATTTGCAATAAAATCATATTGCGGGTATAAATTGAGATATAAGCTATCCTATTTTTTAAGTTGGATCAAACTACACACGGTGTGCAAATTTGATTGATATCGGTTCGGTAGTTTAGGAGTCCATCGCGGACAAACAACGTGACACGAATTTATATATATTAAGATTATAAATAATGCAATTCTTGTGAATTCAGCCAGCGTGCAATTAAATATATCCGTCTCACAACGCTCCCCAAGCAATAGTGTTTAGGGTGCGCAAGACACGCGTTAATTGCGACCGCTTACCCCGCCAAGTGTGGTTATTTCTTCTATACCAGCCTTCTGTCCCTTCGTTTTTCTAAGCCATGACGATGTTCCTGAGGGATTCGCTTTTATGTTCACAGGTCTGGTTTAATCAAAGTATGGTCTGTTCCCGATTGCAAATTACTACAAACACTCACGGGTCATACATGTAATGTTAGTTCGGCCGTCTTTCACCCCGATGCAGCTGTACCTCATCATTTTACGCGCATGGTAAGTACAGTCGGCGTGGAAGCATATTTTTAAAGTGAAACTTCTTTAGGCGCATGAGGGTAAAATTTTTACGGAACGTCACAAAGATGTGCAGCGTTTTTGTCGAAGAAAAGGTAGAAAGTGAGAAGGGCGAACGTAGCATGAAGCAAATAACCATGGAGCGAGAGGTGGGAGAGAGCTATAGTGAGAAAGATTGAGAGAGAGAGTAAGGGAGATCGAGAAAAAAATACGCTATTGGTTGATGTATTCGTTTAGTTACATATTAGAACTTTAGATGGCAATTCTGTCGCATAACGTGTTGTGCAGTAAACGCAGATTTTTTTATTTATTTATATTATCATTAGCACGTATACAGCGTGTAAATAGTGTGAATATAGATATATACATATATAATATAGTGATCATATACTGGTACATGATCATCTATTGGGGCTTTTACCTTAATAATAATTAATTAACAAAGAAGTTTCACTTCTGACATGTGTACTTTGTACGCACGCACTTTTTTTTAATACGGGGCAAAAGTTGGCTCACCCAAAGTTAAGTGTAACGTCGCCCATGGACAATTAATGCCAGAGGGCTGGCTTTGACGGCTTTTTAAGAATTGGTACGCTCTTTTCTTTTCTAAGTGGAATTGGTTCGGAAGTACTTCAGTGGTTAACTGGTTTCAAATAGTGGTGGTGTCCGGTAAAAACTGCCTTAAAAAGACTCAGTTGTGGAACGGACGTCGAGGTGATACGGAGGGAATTTTGTATTCTGCCTCGCAGTCGTTCTATAAAAAAAATACTCGAGTACAGAGTTGACAATTATGACAATATTTCGACTATGAGTTTGCGTGTTGTTCCCACGAGTGTAAGTGCGTGCTCCTATTTCACCATGCCTCCTGCTGATAGAGGACAAGTCTTTGTTTTTTTTTTTTTTTTCTTTTTTTCTTTAGGCGCGTTATGAAAAATTGATGAGAGTGAAATTTTACGATGCGCGGGCACCGTGACACAAAATTATCAGAATGACCATTGACCATAATGACCTTTGTAGTACCTTTTAAACAAATGAAGGAGTTTTAATTATTTTTTCAAAGTAATTTAGCAATGCTTTTTCACAAAGACCTATTGTTACTTAGTTAAAAGGTTATGAAACATACGTAGTTATTAAATTGAATGAATAATATAATAAAATAATAAAATAATAAATAATTATTAATAGTAATTAATAATTGAATAATATACTAAATATTAAATATTATTAACGTTAAATATTTGTTATTAATTATTTAATATTTTTAAAAAATAAAGAAAGCCAAAGAAGTATAACTTCTTACGCGCGTACATAAGTACACGCACTCTTTTTATTATTATTAATTACTTAATATGTAATGTGGAACATGGTGTCAGCTCCTTACAAACGTGTAAAATAAAATAAAAAATGGCGGAGAGTTTATTGCCAGTTCTTCTCTTCCGTTCTACGCCCTTGATTTGAGAACTGGCAGTAAATGTAAAATTAGAAGTATTAGTATGTATTTCTTTACTGACGAGTCATAAGTCTACATTATGTTACCTAGGTATATGATTAAATGATTTTTTTACTTTTACTTTACAATAAATATAAATTTTTGTCTTGTTTCGTGTTTGTGCTTTGAAAAAACTGTGATGAAAAATTCGCTTGATGTATGAAAAATTGGATTTCAGATAGATAACGATTCGGATCAGCAGAACTCGATGGATGTAGGCGAGGAGGTGTCGAAAAGCGTCACGATGGCATCATCGTCCTACGATGGAAATGTGCACTTATGGAATTTCGCCAGGTTATAAATTTTCATAAACCCAAAAGTTCTGTTTTCTTTAAAAAACAATTTTCAGATTCAAAATTGATTTGAAGAATTTTTTGTTGCCATGTTTACTATTTTTAATTTTGGTCAACGTTTATAAGGTGATGTATGAAAGGGGAGCCTAGCGGCTCCAGCGTGGGACTCTCATCCCTGAGATCGTAGGTTCGATCCCTGGCTGGGCACCAATGGACTTTCTTTCTATGTGCGCATTTAACATTCGCTCGTACGAAGGAAACCGGCTTGCAATAGACCCAAAAAGTCGAAGGCGTGTGTCAGTCACAGGAGGTTGATCACCCACTTGCCTATTAGATTGACAAAAGATCATGAACGGATACAGAAATCTGGCCTAAAAAGGTTTGAAAAATATTGTCGGCTACTAATTTAAAATCATTTTAGTTAGATTAGAAATCACGAGATGGCGCTGTGATTAAAGAATAGTAGATTTTTAATTGATAATGAGAAACACTTTAAAAATTTAATGGCGGATTGACAGCTAAAATCTGTCAAATGTCATCTATTAAATTGTGTAACAACTATAGTTTTCAAATAAAAATGAATCGCATAATATGTTGCTAAGCTGATAACTCGAAGACGGCAAGACCAATTCATATAAAATGTTTTTTATTATTCCTTGTACTCTCAGGAAGGATTTTATGGAAAAAAATTGCACGGAAAACCCTGAAACCCCTTTTTTAATCCGGAAAAGCGACTAATCTCTATGGGGTAGTATAGCAAAATGTTTCATATGTTGGTATGTACTAAAAAGGCTTTTTAATTTATTGAATCTAATAAATTTAATTTCAGTGACAAGCCAATGGCATCGTTGGAAGGTCATTCACCATCACGCGTGGCTAGAGTGGAGTTCCATCCATCCGGAAGATTCCTTGCTGCAACTGTCTTCGATCACTCATGGAGATTATGGGATTTGGAGACTGGTGAGTTATATCGACGACCTTATTTCTGGATTTTGAAGCAAGTAGATGGTCCGCTTTGAGTGCCTGAATAAAATTGGTTAAGGGTTCGGCCAATTTTGGTCCTTCGAACCGGATTAATGAGTCTTAGGTGCTTTTAACTCGAATGAAACTAATCAAGTTTCAAGAGCTGTCTAATTATGTATATTCAACGTTTTTGACAGTTGAATTAGAATACGGGAATAATTAAGTCATTTTTCAAGTATAAGAAATTTTGGAAAATACAGTTATATCTTATTTTCAGCCACTGAGGTGTTACACCAAGAAGGTCATGCGAAGCCAGTGTACAGCGTGGCTTTTCAGGGCGATGGCTCGCTGGCTGCTACAGGGTGAGTTTTTTATTTGATAATTATTTCTAAAAGAACGAATGTCAGTTACTAGGCCTAACTCCTTGTTAAGGAAAAATATCACATCTACTGAAATCTGAGGATTTTAGCGTCATTCGTTGATATAAGGACTAGTGCTAGAGAGGCTACTTCTAATTAATTTGAGATATTTGGTTTGAAATAAGTTTTGTTTTATGATTTGCTATTTTAAAAGAGTACCGAGAGTCTTTAACGCCGGCTTTTTCTCTCAGCCTACACCCTCTGTCTTCTTTGCCGATGAGTTGGGATTTAATGACGTGGAATAAGTGATACTGTATCTTATGTTCCATAATAAATATATTTTTTAAAATCCTATATTGTTTTACATAATAATAGCTATTTGAATGTTTGCATTATGAATATCATAATAATATCTAACACCGATATAGAAAATATATATTTTATAAATGTCCTTCTGGACTCGAATTTCTATTCGAGGATACCTCAAGAACTGATTTAGATGAAACTCGACTTGTAGGAATATTATCTAATTTGAAATTAAAAAAGATCTCCTTTTATCTATCTTTGAGAAATTTATGGAGAAACATAAATATGTAAATATTTTTATAATTCACACAAAAGGTACTTAACTAATTTTGATGAACTCGTTTTCTTCTTTACTGTACCTTGGGTTTTAGTACTTTTTTGCTTCAATTGTCTGTTCCTCTTGCCATGTGCTCCGCCCATTTCTACTTTAGTTTATTTATGTTTATTGTAACGTTACCTTAATCATTCTCTTAATGATGTAGTCTTTTCTTCTCTGTCACAAATCGTTCCATCTATCTTTGACACCTGTAGCTTTGTATGCTGCACTTAAGTGGGCGCCCAAATTTGAGATCCAGATGTTAGGACAGGAATTATACAAGTAATGAAGAGCTTTCTTTTTATCTTCCATGCTTTTGCTATTCTTTTGTCGATTTCTTGTATTATTGCATCGGTCATAGTGTTACAACTAATCAAACACAAGTCTTGTAAGACATTAAGTGTGTGTGTGTGTGAGTATGTGTGTGTACGAACGTAGCTAAGAGTTGATAAAAGCGTGCGCTGTGTGTGTGAAGTTTTTGACACCTCAAAGTCATGCCAAAATATGTAATAAGGGTTCTGTCCAAAATCCAATTCAGCTGGCGTAATTTTTATGTCATTTGTGAGTTTGTATCTGGATAGTTTGACTATCTCAGAAATTATAGATTGGGAAATTTTATTATAAAGGAAGAAGGGGACTTATAAATCGGACCATAATGTTCGTTAGTAATTATTAAAGAATAAAATATTTTATTATTCAAAGAAACCCTTGTAATTTAAAATCTATCAGAATTGTGTACTGTCACAATGTAGTAACCATAGCAACGTTGTCACCATGGTTCACACCAAGAAGCTCAAGATTTTATCTCTTCCATGTATTTTAGAAATATCCTTATTCGTGCACAGAAACATACATTTAAGTGGAATGTAGAGTCGAAGTAAGAAGTAGACATGGGGAGAAATTGGTTGAGCCAAACAAACTGGACTGTTTAGGAAAAACACCTTTTATATGGCAATTAAAGTTTACAATAAATTACCAAAATAATTAAAAGATCTTCCGACAAGTCTTCAAAAAGCGACTTTTGGAAAAAATGTATTATTCAATAAATGTTTATTTGCGTGCGACACTGTAGTTGATATAAATTTAATAAAGTATGATACAGATAATATAAGAATTGACTTGACTTATAATGTCAAATTCCTTAAGACAAATTTTCGCGCCATTGTGTGTGGCAGAATATGCGAACCATATTCTTGCAATAAATAAATCATTATTATTACAAATTTCTTCAGAGGTATGGACGCGTTCGGTCGCGTCTGGGACCTACGCACGGGCCGCTGCGTGATGTTTCTCGAAGGCCACCTGGGCGCGGTCTTAGGGGCCACCTGGTCCCCGGCCGGACATCACTTGGCTACGGCGGCCGCTGATCATCAGGTAGTTTTTTTAAAACTTTTATAAGTTACGTGATACTAAGGTCAAATAAATATAGTGTATAGTATATATACATATTTTGACTATAAAGTCTTACAAATCGATGAATGTCGACTGCATGCACGATAAACATGACTCAATGTCACGTTAAATCTGAGCCGAGCTACATTGTCACGTTCCATATGAGCCGAGCTACATTGTCACGTTCCATCTGAGCCGAGCTACATTGTCACGTTCCATATGAGCCAAGCTACATTATCACGTTCCGCCTGAGCCGAGCTAAATTGTCACGTTCCATATGAGCCGAGCTACATTGTCACGTTCCATATGAGCCAAGCTACATTATCACGTTCCGCCTGAGCCGAGCTAAATTGTCACGTTCCATATGAGCCGAACTACATTGTCACGTTCCATATGAGCCTAGCTACATTGTCACGTTCCGCCTGAGTCCAGCTACATTTTCATGTTCCCCCTAAGCCGAGCTACATTGTCACGTTCCATATGAGCCTAGCTACATTGTCACGTTCCGCCTGAGTCCAGCTACATTTTCATGTTCCCCCTGAGCCGAGCTACATTGTCACGTTCCGCTTGCACAAGCGAAAGCGCGGCACAAGCAATAGAGAGGATTGTTAATAGCACGTTGTTACTTGTAATTGATCTGTATAATTTAAGTTAAAGAAAAATATTTGAATTAAAGAGTTAATTTATCGAGAAATTGTAATTTTCCATTAATTCCCTTGTATTATACAAAATAATGATAATTAAGTGATAATAATTAAATTCGATTCGTAAAAGTATGCAATTTTGAATTGTTTTCTTATCACGTAAAATATTGTATAAATTCTCGATACTTCTATTTGTATGGCTATACTAATATTATAAAGAGGAAAGATTTGTATGTAAGCATGTTTGTAAAGAAATGTCTCAAAAAGTACTGGACCGATTTTAAAAATTATTTCATCATTTGAATGCTATAATATCACTGATTAATATAGACTATTTTAATTGCAAGAAAAAAATAAGGATCTCGACTAAAACTTAAATTTCCCAAGGTGTAAATAAATTTATAAAATATCTTTAATTTATCATGCGCTTCGAAAACTATTGATGATAGAACAAACTTTTTTGTGTTTCACAATATTAAAGAACATATCTTCAAAAAATGTTTAAAAATAAATGTTTACCCGAGCGAAGCCGGGACGGGCCGCTAGTTATCTTATAAAAGTTTAAATATTTAATAATAATCTGTGATTCATTCTGTAATTTCAGGCTAAAATCTGGGATCTTAGACGCCGGGCCTGTCTATACACGATACCTTCACATACACATCTTATAAGCGGTGAGTCGATTTTTTATATTAATACAAATTGCTGCTTTTTAAGTTGGTTGATATATATATTTTTTCAGATATAAGATATCAACGCAGCCATGGACATTACCTGCTGACGTCATCGTATGATAAAACGGCTAAGTTGTGGTCCAATCCAGCTTGGCATCCTCTGAAGACACTGTCCGGTCACGATAATAAGGTAATTCTTCATAAGTTTAAAAATAGAACATTTTTTTATTAAGTATGAACATTAGAAGATTGATTTTGAATTAATTCTTAAAATTAAGCTAATAATAGAACATGCTTTTATTATTTTGAAAATGGAACACTATTTGTGTAAAAAAATTGAATTTGAATTTTAAAAATGGAACGTTAATTTTTTAATGAAAAATAGAATAATTATCATGTTCTTTATTTAAAAATTGGTGCTGTGTTAAAAATATAGCATTTAAAAAAAAACAGATTTTAATACTGAAATGTTATTTCAGGTGATGAGTGCGGACATATCATTGGATAATAAATATATTGCAACAAGTTCCTACGACAGAACATTCAAGCTATGGGCCCCGGATTTAGTTTAATAAATATTTCATAGAAAATTCTTGTTTTTATTAAATTCCAATGAAGAGATATCTTATCACAGGTTCTGTGACATAACACACCTTCTAAAACTTTTCAAGTTTACATTAATGTTACAAGAGGAATAATTGCTTTTTTATTTGCATTACATTTTCTCCTTTCATAAAAGTTGGGATTTTGTATGAAATTATGATATTGTAATCCAAAGTGTGAAAACCAAACCAATAAAGATTCCTATATCATGTATGATGTGGAAACTATTGACAATAGACCAAACTGACTACAGATTTATTTCGTAATCCTACAGCTAACATAAATTACAACAAAACACAATATTACTATAGATATAGCCAATCAATTATGGTGAACTAAATAAATATGAATGGTACAAAAAAATTTTTTTTTGTGTTCTTGTTCATCTGCAATCGGCTATCAGGCATAATCAGATATTTTCTGAGGTTAATTTTGGTTGGGTGCGATTCCATTTTCCACAAAAAATTTAAAGTAACAATATTACACTTAACACAAAAAATAGCAGTTTAGGTATCAGATAGGCACGTCAGAGATACACCCCGTTATAACCACACGCAGGCACTCTTTTCAGCAGTTACATTTAGCATTCGTTAATACCAATTAGCATTTAATTATTTCATATTTATTGTATTATTATAGTTTTAATATATAGTAAACACAATATCCTCTATTATTTTAAGAATCCGGATGACCCAGGAATCGTACATATAAAATATTAATACATTTTTCAGTGAACTCTTTAATACACATCATTATAGTTTGAACTTATAATGCGTGGCGTCGTCAACGTCACGTGACCGCTGCGTATGACCAAACATTATTCTTTACATGAAAGCCCTAAGTTTTTTTTATTCCTAGAAATATTCAACTTCGATCGCGTGTTATAATTAAATAATTTAAACATTACATTGTATCTACGTTTTCGGTTGAAATTACGCGAATCAAATGCCCTGGATATTGGCACCATAATTTTCCACAGATATTTAAACCCAATAAAGCCTAACCGTATACCGTTCGGGAAGTTTAAAAAGGCGCCAAATGAATAGTTTAGTGTCGAAAAAGAAAGCCAAACCTATGGTCAAATCCCGGGGCGGCATTGTCTGTCAACTGTCAAAAAAATCATCAACCGTTTTGTCAACATAGAGTTGTTAGAATGTGTTTCGATTATTCAGAAGTTCATGTCTCTCGCATAAAAAATACATACATACATAAAAAATGTGATGAAGTTAAAAAGTCCTGCCCTAAATAAGGTTATTATTTGTTGACAAATAAAAAAGGTTTTTTACCATTTAACGAAATATATATCATATATTAGACACCTTGGTGCTTAAACAACACAACCAGTTTATCTAAGTTGAATGACTAGCACAATACTGCATTACTTAAAATAAATCGTGTCTTAGTTCCACGCAATATGCATCCTAATGAGTCAGTCAAAATCCAGGTAAATATGACTCATTAAAGTTACCATGTATTGACCATAATTACTAAATTAAAATTGTTTGAATTGTTAAAATAAGTAAGTTAGCATTAATCCGATTATATATAAAATTTATAATAGATTATGCGATATCTTAGTGATATCTTAATCATGGATATAATATATGATATGTGTAGTGTTTTTACATCCGCACTCTAACAGTCGATAAAAAATGACTTATCGACAACTTATCAGCTTAACTGTCCATCACTAGTAAACCAGTTTAAAATGTCATTGACTTCGGTGGTAGGAGTTAGTCGTCTGCAATTTCCTAATGCATTTAAAATGAACTCGTAGCAAACACTGCCCCGTTATTCGCCTCGAGCTATCGAACAAATTTAACACCACATTAAGATTTAAATAGCATTAGATTTGTTATATCGTCGCGAGAGTTAACACGTAAAAATGGTGATTGAAAAAATTTGCTGCCTTGGCGCTGGCTACGTTGGAGGCCCAACTTGCAGTGTGATTGCGTGGAAATGTCCCGATATTAAAGTAACTGTATGTGACAAAAGTATTGAACGTATTAACCAGTGGAATTCTGACAAATTACCGATCTACGAGCCGGGTCTCGACGAAGTTGTAAAAGAGTGTAGAGGTAAAAACTTGTTCTTTTCTACTGATATTGCAAATAGCATCCAAGAGGCTGACTTGATATTTATTTCTGTGAATACGCCGACAAAAACCATAGGAAATGGCAAGGGTAGAGCCGCTGATTTGAAGTATATTGAGGGCGCGGCTCGAATGATAGCCGATTTAGCCACCAGTAACAAAATTGTGGTTGAAAAGAGTACGGTACCAGTAAAGGCTGCTGAGATTATTATGAAAATACTTCGTGCTAACACAAAACCTGGAGTAGAGTATCAAATTCTGTCGAACCCAGAGTTTCTTGCAGAAGGCACTGCTATTGTAGATTTAGTTGAATCGGAGAGAGTGTTAATTGGTGGTGAAGACACTCCGGAAGGTCAGAAAGCTGTTCAGGCACTTTGTTGGGTGTATGAACATTGGATCCCAGCCAAGAATATTCTAACTACAAACACATGGAGCTCTGAGCTATCAAAATTAGCGGCTAATGCATTTTTAGCTCAAAGAATATCTAGTATTAATTCTCTATCAGCTGTGTGTGAAGCCACTGGTGCTGATGTATCTGAAGTAGCAAGAGCAGTTGGCCGTGACTCAAGAATTGGTCCAAAGTTCCTAGAAGCATCTATCGGCTTTGGTGGTAGTTGTTTCCAAAAAGATATACTTAACTTAATATACTTATCAGAATGTTTAAACCTGCCAGAAGTTGCTGCTTATTGGCAGCAAGTTGTTAGCTTTAATGATTACCAGAAAAACCGTTTTACAAGAAAAGTTATTGAGTCACTTTTTAACACTGTCTCAGACAAGAAAATTGCTATTCTTGGGTTTTCATTCAAGAAAAATACAGGTGATACAAGAGAATCACCAGCTATTTGTGTATCAAAGACATTGTTAGATGAGGGAGCTAAACTACATATCTACGATCCTAAGGTGGAAACCGACCAGATATACTATGAGTTGACACATCCTCAAGTAACAAATGAGCCAGAGGTAGTAAGGAAAAACATAGAGATACACAACTCTGCCTATTCAGCCGTAACTGGGGCTCATGCTCTAGTTCTATGTACTGAATGGGATGAATTCAAAGAATTAGACTTTAAGAAAATATACAATGTAATGATGAAGCCGGCCTACATTTTCGATGGACGGAAGATCTTAGATCATGAAGCATTAATAAACATTGGTTTCCATGTGCAAACAATTGGCAAGCGATTGTCAAGAACGGGCAGTATTAGGGCACAAGGCAGTCAGACATTACCTTAGAGTAAGTATTTTTATGTGTGTAACTAATATATGAAGTTAAGTTAGATATTTACTAACTTTAATAGCAATGATTTTATCATTCAAACTTTTTTACACAAGAAACATTTTAAATATTATCAATAATAATTCTAAGGAAACATCTAAGGGAGTAATTCTATAATTTTTATTCACAATTTTCATACAAATGTTGTAAATATTAATTAATATACAGTGTAAACTTTATATAACGACACTAAAGGGACTGTGTATATACAAAGAAAAAAAATCTGAGAAAAAGTTGATTTCAGACTAGTGTTAGTGTATTAGATAAAAAAAAATCTTTTGAACGCTATTGCATATAGTCTGTTATTTTCGTTTCACGTCTTTTGGTGCACCGGTTATTATCTTGTATTTTTTTACTTATTTTATTCATTTTGCGATATTAAGGAATATTCGTGGTAAAGAACGTGTAAGCAATCCCAATTTGTAAACAAAAGAACGGATTTCTTCGAAAGTTTGGTACGTACGATGCAGACAGTCGAGTTTATTATGGATTATAAAGCAAGAAAAACGTACACATAGACCGGGAGATAGTGATACAAAATAGTGGGTCGTTTGTACCAGTATGGCGGTTCTTCAGGGGCGCAATGAAAAAGAGGGTGCGTGTACTTATGTACGCGCGTAAGAAGTTCTTTGCCATTATTAAAAATAGTTTTTGATTGCATGCAAATAATTAATTACAATTAAATAATTAAAGACTGGAAAAGGAGTCATTATAGTCAATAAAGTTCAGTTTACATTTGAAAAATTAAATAAATAAATATTTATTAATATTATATTTATTATTATTTTCTAATATTAATTAGTATTGATTTAAATATTCAATTTAAATCACTCCTGATTATAATTCAGACGCACATATAAAATTCGCACTTGTATAATGAAAACGCGTGTTTTAAATGTAGAAACTCAAAGCATGTGGATAAATATTATAAATATAAATATTTACACAGTGAACAGAGGCGGCGTGCGTGCCAACATGCGCCACTAACTTCGTTCTGTTAATTTTGTGTCACGTAATCATAAAATTTCACTCTCATCAATTTTTCATAACGCGCCTAAAGGAGTATAAACTTCAAAAAAGAAAAATGATGGTCATAGCGCTGGTACCGGCGGCCCAATCGCGTGGCCGTTAGTCGAACTCGTCGGATTAATTAGAGTGCCAAACGATTTGTTCCACAAAAATTCTAGTATTTTCCGATAGTCCATAAAAAAAATGCGGCAGTGTCGTGCCATACTTCTCCGGTGTGACTTACACCCCCTATTATACCATACCGCTATTTTGTGTCACTATCTCCCGGTCTCACAGTTCCGCAGTTTTAACTAATTTCGGTAACTTAAAAATTACTTTTTACTATTTAATTGTTTGTGTTATTGACAGTGGGTGTAATGCTATGTGTATCATTGTATGGAAGACAAGCTAAACCAACCAAAACCCAGTGATTTGCCGCTTTAGGGAGTTTATCGTTATATTGACGGATGTTACATAGAGTTTATATGGTATACTTCAATTCGTTAAAAATACTGTTAATTTCGGAGTTATTTCAACTCTAGAAACACTGTTTGTCCCTATTCTCTTTTAATGTAAAGTCTTTTTTATGTTTTTTTTAAATAAACAGTGTAACAATAAAAAAAATTAATAAAATTATATTTGTAAAGATTTGTTTTAATGTAAACAGTTTTTACATATAGAAACAACACTTACTGATTACATACATGTGCCAAGCAATAAAGTTAATCAGTTTTCAAAATTGGTTTAATTTTTCCAGAGAAAGTGAAATAAAATTGTTAAAATTACTATAAAAGCAGATGTTAATTAAAATTAAGATTTCTCAGTATTTATCACACAATACGCAACACAATATTTACAACAAAAAGAAAATTACCTAAAACAAATTTAAAAAGTTTTGTCCCTGTGGCAGAACCTTTAACGCTGGCAGCATTTCCTCGCTGTTGCGATAATTATTCGTTAAGGAAAGCACCACCTCTGGGCTCACCGGTACTATCTACAAGGCGCCAACTTAAATCTTTAATAAGCGCATGTGCGCTTGAACCCCACGGCCCAAGAGCCTCTACTCTAAAGGGAAAAAAATCGAGAAGACTCTTAAGAATATTAGATAACATAATATTCTTTTCTAGATTAAATTAGATTTTACGGTTTTGATATAACTACAAACAACCTAACAAAAACAATGATTTCACTGTTATGTTCGTTTATGCAATGAATTATAATATTCATGACATTGTTAACGCTTTCTTGATTTCAATTTCATTTTTATGTGTCGTAAATTATGTTTTATAGTGTTGCCAAGTCCTACAGAATGTTTCTCCTAAGACTAACTTTAAATACCCCTAAATATCGATTAAAACACTTAGTTTTTGTTGTACACTCAGTTTGTGAGGTAATTTCAAAGCTTTTTGAGATTTCAGTTATAGCCACGCTTGGAGTTTATATATGGTTTCGTTTGCTTGGGTTCTAGGATTAATATAAATTGTGTAGCACTGCGCATTAAAAAAAAGTACCCCCTACATAAATGAACCCTCAACCGATCCCCCAGAACATCTTAAATCTCATTAAATTTAGCGAGAGTGACTCCATTCGTGTCTGATATTTGTTTCAAAATTATTTTACATCATACATATTTAATGAACTTTTTGATATCATTTAATTTTCATCAAATTAATAGACCCACGAATTTATGATGTTCACAGATAACAAACAACGATGAAACAGACCATAGCAAGTCTATATCTATGGTAGTGTTATAAAGTTCGTGAGATTGTAGGGGGTAATCTCTAAATTTAACCGAAAATTCTTTTACCAATAGAATGCCTAGTTGTTTAGTTTTTAACTGCTTGTTGTAAGCTGTAAAAATATTAAAATACTTTCTCGTGGTAGTCGGATTTGCTGCCACAGTAACGGTCGAACGTAATCGTTTCTTAGGAACGTTGCCTAGATGTCTTAATGAGTTCTGGAGCTCGATAATGCCTGTTTATCTATTCGCGGTAAACTCAAAAGCTACACTGATTCATAAGAATGATTTAGGTATATATTTTTTCAAGGTTTACGGGTCACGACGAACGCATGCGGTGAACATATGTTGTAATGTTGAAATATGTAAAAACAAAAGAGTGTTCACATGCATCCGGCTGGCGGCTTCCGTTTACTTTTAACAGAAATATATATGTAACAATTAGACTTAGGGTCCTTCAAGAAAAGAGCGTACCAATTCTTGAAAGGCAATGCACTTGCGAGCCTTCTGGCAGTGTGTGTCCATGGACGGGGTCACTAAATATCAGATGAGCCCGCTGCTAATTTGCCTCCTGTAACTGCTCTACAACCTTTTTAGGTCTGGGCCTCAGATTTCTGTAGCTGTTTTATAATCATTTGTCAAACTAATAAACAAGTAGGTGATCAGCCTCCTGTGCCTGACACACGCCGTCGTCTTAAGCTCTAAGCTATATATTATATTCTTAATAGTATGTGATAATTGGGAACTATTAATATTTATTTCCAACACACAAATATATATTTACAATATTCTTAACCCTGTACAGCCAGGAAAGGCTTTAATATTATATTTATAAGTTTTTAATTATTATTATTACTAAGAGTGGGAAAATATAATTATTTTTATGACACACTAGCGATCCCAGCTTCGGTAATAAAAACATAGAATCCTTGGAGACATAAATCCATGGTTATAAATTTTTAAAGCGTCGAAATCACTCGGCTTTGGTTGGTTTAGCTTGTCTTCCATACAATGACACACTCTACATAGCATAACACCCACCCTCAAAACCGACAATTAAATATTAAAAAGTACTTTTAAGTTACCGAAATTAGTTAGATTTGCGGAACTGTGTACGCTTTTCTCGCTTTATTGTCCTAGCACGTAATAAACTCGATTGTCTGTATCATGCGTACGAAACTTTCTAAGAAATGCGTTCTTTTGTTTACAAATTGGGATTGCTTGCACGTGTTTTATCACGAAAATTCCTAAAATACAACATAATTACTGGTGCAGCAAAAGATGTCAGACGAAAATAACAGCCTATACGCAATAGCGTTCGCAGAAGAGTTGTTTTTTTTAATGTAATTACTGACATTAGACTAAACGAAACTATTTATAATACAGATTTTTCTTCTTTCCATTTAAATACAACTCTTTGTAACGTCAACATATGCATGCAGGTTTATTTCGTGCCAGTGCTAAAACTATTTTCAAATAAAATATTTTTTAAATAAATTATTTATCATTATGCACCGATTTCCGTGTATCTTAATTATCAAATCGTGCAATTATTCATTTCATCAGTCGTGACGCCTCAAGGCAATCCAGGGACCTTCACACAGCGTTTTTCTTAAAATTGTACGTGATTTAATGGCATTTCACACGTATCGCGTTCGACACCCGCCCGCGATTTTTTGGGTCCGGTTTCCTGACGATGTTTTCCTTCACCGTTCGAGCAATTAGCAAATAAAAGTCTTTTGGTGCATACTTGGGATCGAACCTACTTCAGGGATGAGAGTCGCACGCTGAAACCACTAAGCCAACACTGCTCTAACGATATATTACGCTTTTCTGAATGCATTTTGGAAATCTTTCTCACAGCCGGAATCTTTTAAGACCTCCGAGCTCCGCCATAAATTTATGGATTTTTCAAAGACGGGAGCTTATCCCGTCTTTAAAAAGTCTTCTATATAGACACCTGTTAACCATATTCTGTCCATCTAAAATCGTGATTTTTGTTTTTTTTTTCAAGTTTATATTTCTTTTTTGCAATTTACCTGAAAGACATCGCTTGACAGCGACAGCGAGCAACACCAGTTGCCACTTAAATGATATCTGAACGTATACCGTACCAAATATTGACAGTTGACCGTTTCTATACAGTTTTTGTAGTACAAAATTATTTATGAATGGAGCGCTTCTAAAGTTTCCGTCTAAAAATCCAGC